TGAGGCACAGTCTAACTAGCACCTCGTAGAATGTACCTGATGGCTATGACGGCATTAGTGAAGGGTTTTTTTTTTTTTTTTTTTTTTTTGTTCTTTTTCGGATATAACTACCGTGACTACCAGAACACAAAATACAATAAGAGCCTGGCTCGGCAAAACTTGGTGTGCAGTGAAATTCATGGTCGGTAAACACAGGATCGGAGGTAGCGGTGGTTTAAGATCCCAACCTGATCACGAGCATCATGACTCCCTTATATCAGGCGAGTAATGATTTTGCCATCATTAGGAATACACAAACGCTCTTCTCCCTCGCTGATGATGTACGGCAAGCCTGAAGTCAAAGTATAGCCTGACTCAAAATTCAGATCAGTCTGTAGATTCATAAGGAAGGGGCCAAAGACTAGGATCTGAGGCAACACTTCAGAGATGGCCTACCTGGTGGAATCAGCAAAGGAGTAAGTAATAAGTATCAACAATGGTAGCAAATGAATCAGGTCTCTACGTGACAATGCATCAGCAACCCTGTTATAACACCCCTTTTTGTGCTTTACTTAAAAGTTAAATCCATTAATGAACAAGTAGATCTTGAAGTGTTTCCCAAGCAAGAAATGTTTCCACTGATTGAGGACACGAATGAGAGCATGTAATTCCTTTTCATAGGTAGATACTTGAATTCCCTGCATCTTCATTTTCTTACTCATGAATTTCACTGGGATAGAGAGAGAAAAGACAGTTGGAGAGAGGGTGAGACTCCTGGCTATGTGTACCCCCTGGGTGGCGACCGAGGTGTCGATCCCTGTTGGGATCTCAACCGCGACCGCGGACTGCCACGGGTGGGTCGCGGCCGCAGGTCTTTGGGGATTTTTCCCCGCCGAATAAAGGGGTGATCCCCCCCACCACCACCACCTTTTTTCTTTCCCAAACTGTTGATTTTTTTGTATTTAAAAAATAAAACACGAGAACTGCAAAAAAAAAAAAAAAAGAATACACAAAAATATGTGTGTGTGTGTGTGTGTGTGTTGGGGACGGGGGGGGGGACACATAACCCCCACTAATCAATCACTCAATCACTCAATCAATCAATCAATCGAAGAAAGAGAAAAAAAGTGTGTGTGTGTGTGTGTTTGTGTGAGCCACCGTGAGGGTAAGGGGAGGAGGCCACCCATCCCCCACCTGCCAATCAATCAATCGAAAGAAGAAAAAAAAAAGTGCGAGTGTGTGTGTGTGTGTATCCGATCCTATCCCATGACATCGACCGTCAAGGACCCCATGTCATCCATGGTACACACGGGCCGTACGCGACCAATCCAACCCTCATTCATGGCTGATTCCTTGGCTCATGGAGCTTTCATTCATGTCGGCTAGTTGCTTTCCTGCCATTCATGCAAATCAGAATAAGTCCAGTGCAAGGGGAGGCGGGAGGGCAGACAACATGCAAGAACACGAAACAAGCAAACAGAAAAAAATACAAGTCCCAAAAAAGAAGAAGACCGAAAAAAATTAAATAAAAGCAGATGATGATAGATTGTTTCGTCGGAGTTGCACCGACTCATCAGGAGTCTGAACCCTCGACAATCTACGGCTCCGTATTTGATGGTTTGGGTCATGAACCCTTTGACCCATGTTGAAGGCAGACTGTCACCAAGCGGGACATAGCAGCGGGCAGCAACCCTGCGGAGCACCAGGCAACCCCACCACCAACCTCCCCCCCCGCCTGGCTGCCACGGCGCCCACAAAGTCTGCAACCGCGAGGCCGTGGTCATACACGCTCTCTCTCTCTCTCTCTCTCTCTCTCTCTCTCTCTCTCTCTCTCTCTCTCTCTCTCTCTC